ATTTTAAGACTTCCTCTAAAGCTACAGTAATCAAGGCAGTGTTGGTGTAAGGAAAGACATATAGATCATTGGAATAAAACAGAATCTAGAAATAGAACCACACATATATGGTCGACTGACTTTTAAAAGATTATTTAATGTTAACATTTTATAGAACATAAGCTCAACTCAAGAGTAGAGGAAAAGATAGTGTTTTCAGCAAATGGTACTAGAACACTTGTTATCTGTATGTAAAAAATTAACCTCAACCCCTTATTTCCATACATAAAAATAACTTGAAAGAATCTATGAACCTAAATATGAAGGACTAAAACTATAAAACTTTAAGAAGAAATTATAAGGGAAAATGTTCATGAATTTAGGGTAGTCAAGAATTTCCTAGGATACAAAAAACATGATGCATAAAAGAAAAAAATTGATAAATGAGATTCCGTCAAAATTTAGAACTTTAAAAGACATCGTTAAGAAAATGAAAAGTAGTCTTTAAACAGACCATATTTATAATGCATATAACCTATGACCAGAATATATAAAGAACTCTTACAGCTCATTAATAGACAACCCAGTTAAAAAGTAGACAAAAGAAGATGATAAATAGCCAGTACAGCACAAGGAAAGGTGTGCAACACTAGAATCAGAAAAATACTAGTCAGTAAAATAACAAGATCATATTATACACTTATTAGGGAGATGAAGTTAAAAGTTTTAACAGAACAAATGTCAGCTTAGATGTGAACCAGTTAGAACTTTCTAATACTTCTAATGTGAATGTAAAATGATAAAATCATTTTGGAAAACAACATAGAAATTTCTCGTATTACTGTTAAGAACCAACAGTTCTGTTCTTAAGTTTTTACTTAAGAGGAATGAAAACACATGTTCACAATAGATTCATACATACAAGATGACTATCTCTTATCTGAAATTCTTGGGACCAGAAGTGTTTCAGATATTGATTTGAAATCCACTTGATCTGCATAGAGGATAGCTACTACTGCTTTTTTTCGGGTTCTTGTCACACGGAGTATTGTTTCCCACCCTTTAACTTTCAGTCTATGAGTTTCTTTTTGAAACAAGTCTGTGTCTAGTGTGCAGCATATTGTTGGATCTTGCTTCTTGACCCATTCTGCCAGTCTATTTCTTTTGATTGGTGAATTGAGACCATTAACATTGATGGTTATA